CCTTATTCTAGTTTTGAGTTGCATGGGGTGAGTAGTGATAGAATTGACAGATTTGCATGTTTTTTTGTTATTGTTTATTTTCTTTGGGAACCCAGTAGTGAAGTAGTTAGTTATGTTAATTGCTAATTAATTAGTGGTAAGTGATTAATGCGAAAAATGAAAGTTGGTTCTAGAAGTTAATTTCATGCAATCTTTTTTCCCATTTTTTTGTGAGAATTCACTTTCCCTCTTTTTTATTTTTTTATTTATTTTTTGTTTGTTTTGCATTTGTATTTGCATCATATTTGCATTTTTTTTATTCTTCGTTCCATTTTTTATTTTTTGGCGCTTTCGCGCGAGATGTATTCTTGTATATATTTGTTACTTTTGCGTACTTATTTAGCAGACTGTGTATTTATGGTATTTGGCATCGGACTATAGGTATTATTTGTCTATGGAAGGCCCGCGTTGGTCCCTTTTAGTCATAAGCGTTTATAATTGCAAATGACCTACTCATGGCACGGGTGGCTTTACGCAAATAAGCAGAAGATTACCGTGGGGGAGTTAAACTATAGAGATAATATATATTTGAGAAAAAGATGTTTCTCTTCAAACTTCTGAACAAACTCTCATTTTATTTTCACAACTTGATGTTTAAAAGAACAGTATCATTTGTTAAAATTATAAATTACTTTCAATAATTAATTTTTGGAAGTCGAACTGATTAAGTGCTGTTTGAGGTTGTACTATCAGCTTTATCCAATGTAATGAAAGTGAAGCCCGCTCACCTGTCAACAGATATATTCACAGGCCGATCTCCAACCAAAATTGTATAAAATTTAGGAAAACGTTTCTTTATCTCAAATGGACCATCGTATGGTGGTGTAAATGAATAACGTACTTTGTCCACTCGAATAAAAACATGCGTCGCATCATTTAATCTACTATTAATGAACGGTTTTTTAATTGAGTGATGAGCTGTGTCTGCAGGACGGACGGATTTCATCAGTTCAATAAATTCCTTTACGAATTCATCTTGTGGCTTGAAAAGGCTATCAATAAACATCTCGCCGGGTAGTCTAAGTACAGTGCCGTAAACCATTTGCGAAGGACTGGATCCGATATCTTGCTTGAATGTTGATCTTAAGCCCAAAGGTACAATCGGTAAATGCTCAGTCCATTTAAGAGTATCAAAACACATTAGCGATGCTTTTAAAGTTCTATGCCAACGTTCAATAATGCCATTAGATTGAGGGTGGTAAGCGGTAGTCCGAAGGTGATCAATTCCGAGTATCCGTGAAAGTTCATTAAAAAGATTTGAATTGAACTGTCCTCCTTGATCGGTAGTTAAACGGATAGGCACTCCAAAACGTGAAATCCAAGCACTGATTAATGCTTGTGCGACAGTTTTTGCGTTAATATCTGTGATAGGAATTGCCTCAGGCCATCTATTATAGCGATCAACGATTGTAAGGCAAAATCGAAATCCATTTGATGGTGGAAGCGGACCAATAAGATCTATGTTAATATGCTCAAATCGCTGTGATGGCAAACAATGTTTACCAAAGGGCGATATTGAATGTCTACTAACCTTAGATCGTTGACATTGAATACAGTTTGTGACAAGCCTTGCAATATCTCTTTACATGTATGTATGGCCATACAAAACGTTGTCGAACAGTGTTGAAAGTTGATCTAGCACTTGTATCCGCAATTTTGTGAAATTTCAATATCACATTGTTCCTGAATGACTTTGGTACAAAAGGTCGAGCGTACTGTGTTGAAAAATCGCATACAATTTGTTTTGAGCAATCTGGAAGTTGAATGGATTTCAACTTTAGAGAGGTTGTGGAGGAGTTAAGATAATCTTGTAATTCTGGACAACTTCGTTGAGCATCCGCAATATGTTCAAAATTAATAACGTTATTGTTTGATTTTAAAGAGTCAATGCGAGATAAAGTATCTGCAGTTATATTTTTT